ATGGTTTCCGAACGACACAGCGCAGCCCCCCCCCCCCCCACAACTTTTGCACAGCTTTAGGCAACTGAATAGCAGATTGTTTGGTATCAAAAATTTAGATGCACCTTGTAAGGTCGCTGACCAACGGCAGACCAAAGTCGGGCCATGGGCTCAGCGAAGAAAATTCCTACGGATTCGCTCAATCGTATTTCACAACGGAGTGTTAGAACAAAGCCATACATGTCTGAGGAAGCTTCTTAGGCAACACAATAATTGAATGGACAAGAGCCATTAACCCAGGGTTAGATGTGAAGGTCAGACCAAGGTCACGACCAACCTGCTTTCTTACTCTGCAGCTTCATGCATGGGTAGTTTCTGGTGCTCATGTAGCGGTGGACCATATGTGGCAATAGATCAAGTCCCAGGACAGTCTTAACGTAGGGAAACGGTCACGGCTCAGGGGCAATGCGTTAGACCGTGAACGCGGTGGGGTGGGACGCGGTGGTGCCAGCGAGTCACACGCCGATCGTGTTGCGGGTGGGCTCGAAAGGAGTATAAGAGGTGTTGCTCGGGGCGCGTAGAGCGAGTCTCTCTGTCGGCGCTGCGTGCGGCAGTTCACCATTGTGTGTGGGGTGGTCCAGCCGCGATGTGACTCCGAATACAACCTATTTCGGCCAGAATGCTCGAGACGCTGGCAGCGGCTGCAGGCGGTGTGAAGACGTCCATCACGGCTGGTGGCGTGACGACACCAGCGTCAGCCAGCGGGAGCGCCAGTGTCAACGGGAGCAGGGCCGTCACGCGGGATGAAGGCGGGCCGTTTGACGCCCGGCTCATTCCGGTGTACGATAGATCGTCGTGCTGGACCTACCTAGCGTTCTCGCACGGGCACGGGCCGTGCGCAGCGATGAACGCGTCGCTGTGGCAGCGGCCGTGGCGCGTGCAGGGGCGCCTCCGCGAGCCGACGAGGCGCCCACTGCGATGCTGCTGGACGTGCGGTGAGTCGGGCCACGTCGCCGTCGCCTGCCCGCGGCGTCGGACGCGAAGCGAGTCGGGGGACGCCGCGTCAGCGCGAGCGCCGTCTCCCCGCCATTAAGGGGCGCGCTGCCCATCACCTGGCTAGAGGTGAACGGGCGGATGGTCGGGGCGCTGGTGGACGCGGGCTGCACGGACGCGCTCGTGTACGCTGCCCGCTGCGAACAATGGACACCGAGAATGGTGAGAGTGGCCACGATCGGCGGCCGGGAACTCGGATGCTGCGGGACCGGCAGCATAGCATGGTGGTTGATACCAAGGACCGTCGAGTGACGCTCGAGGCCTTGGTAGAGCCGGACCGACCGCTGGGTCGGTCGCGGCGGTCGCGACGTCGTGCTCGGCATGAGTGGCATCACTGCTCTGGGATGTATCAGCGTGCGGACGCCGACAGACGTGCGGTTCGGTGCGGCGGCAGCTGTAACCCAGGAGGCCTGGAGGTGAATGCAGCCAACTTTACGGCGAGATTTAGCGGCGAGCAGCAGGCGCAGACGGTCGCCTGGAAGTGGACGGACGCCAGCGCCAGTGCTGCAGATGGCGGTGGAGCGGTGGGGCAGCCTCCCGCGGCCGGTGGAGCGACGGGTCGGTCTCCCGCGGCCGGTGGGGCAGCGGCCGGCCACAGCCAGTCGCTGCGTGGCGGAAAAGGCGTGCGAACGCGGTGACCGACGGCTGGGATGACGTCGCGGATGACGAGATCCTGCACGCCCAGATCGGACACGTGTGCGAGCGCCTGTCAGCTGTAGACCCGGCGCGCGGCCGGTGTCGTCGTCGAGACGCCGGACGGGCGGCGTGATGGAAGATGGCTGTTGGCTGCAACCTGAGGGATCTGCCGCAGATCGCGTCAACGGCGACTGGGACGGAACCGGTGGGCGTCCTGGCCTGTCCTGAGCAGCCGGCGGACGAAGTCGCGACGGTGCCGCTGCGACGCAGCCAGCGTGTGCGCCGGCAACCGGGCCAACTTTATGGACAGAGTGTGTCGAGTGATCGGATAGTATGAACGTTGGTGTGAGAGTATGATCTTTGAAGATCAGGGGTGGGCGTAGCGGTGGACCATATGTGGCAATAGATCACGCCTCAGGACAGTGTTAACGTAGGGAAACGGTCACGGCTCACGGGCGATGCGTTAGTCTGTGGACGCGGTGGGGTGGGCTCGAAAGGAGTATAAGAGGTGCTGCTCGGGGCGCGTAGAGCGAGTCTCTCTGTCGGCGTTGCGTGCGGCAGTTCGCCGTTGTGTGTGGGGTGGTCCAGCCGCGATGTGACTTCGAATACAACTTTTTAACACGAACTCGGGTGGAGGGGTCAAATTGACCGCCCAAGATTTTTCCAAAAGTGTTTCAGAGCAGCAAAGCGCAGCCACGCCAATTTTTTTCAATTTTTACAATTTTTTACAATTTGCATAGCTGTAGACAATTGAATAGCGGATCGTTTGGTACTAAAAATTACATGTACCTTGCAAGGTCACTGCCCTACGGCCGGTCAAAGTCAGGCCATGGATTCTGCGAAGTCATTTTCTAGTGAATCGCTCAATGTGATGCGACAACGGAGTGTCAGACGAGACCATACATCTCTGAGATACTTTCTGAGGCAACGCAACACTTGAATGAACAAATTCCATGGCCCTAAGATCGGTTTCAAAAATGAGATCAAGGTCAAGGCCAATCTGTTTTATAACTCTATGGCTTGCTGTGTGGGGTAGTTTCTGATGTTCATTCTGAATTCATTGAGCACAGGAACCGCATTATGCATCTTCCATGCACTTCTCAATTGTCAGAATGGGTCACTGACCTAAAAAGACCCGGATCAGCATTTTTCTTCTGGGAACATAATGCCTAGCGTAATCTTCGTCAGTTATTCAAATGCAAAACTTGAAGTATTCTTGCATGATTTTAGTCAACATGACCTCGGAAGGTCAAAAAGCGTCACTGACCTTAAATGATCATGTAGCCTTTTGGTTAGGACAGGTATATAGGTTCTGGGCGGCACTTTGGAGGCCAGCCTGGAGATCGACCTTGTTTGACCTTACCTGGCCCGAAGCTTATGGCCTAGGAACCTCGAACCTTGACCTAAGTGAGTTCAGGTACAGGCCAACACACCCTGTAAATTTGATGTCTCTAGCCTTCTTAGTTCCTGAGATCTCAGGGGGGTCATACTGACCCGCCAACCGACCGAAGGGTGTCCAGCCGGCCACCCGGGCGCGTGTTTAAGATCAGAATAGGTCACTGGCCTAAAACATCCACCCTAAAATAACTTAACATTTTGTTTTAGGAACAGACTGCTTAGCATAGTCTTTGACGTCCATTCAAACACAAAACTGAATGCAGTCTTATACAACTTTGGTCACCATGACCTGCGAAAGGTCAAACAAGGTCACTGGCCTTAAATGAGGACAATAACTTTTTGCTTGGAACAAGTACCTAGGTTCGGGGTAATCTGCACACCAAACTGGGGTTTGACTTTGACCTTATTTGACCCGAGGGTCGTAACCTAGAAAATTCAAATTTTGACACGAGTGAGTTCACATACAGGTAAACACACCTTGTGAATTTGGTGTCCCTAGTTCTCTTAGTTTTTGAGACCTTGAGAGGTCATATTGACGACCCCCCCCCCCCCCCGCCCCATCTGAGCGAAGGGTACTTGACGAGCCACTCGGGCGCGTGTTGACATGAGGTGTTTCTGTAAGTGTCTCTTGTCAAGGCTTGTGATGATATGCATCGCGAAATGCAGTAATCTATGCATATACAGTATACAGGGATCAACAAAGTACTCTTTGTTTGAAGTTCTTTACTGGAAGGAAATTTACACCCCAGGGTTACAACTGAGCCTACTGCGGCAGCTGGTACCCCTTCCTCATTTTTCAAACTTTGTACCACCTATGCCACTACACAACGCAGCTATGAGTTCCGCAACATGCACTGCGACGGTGGGGCAGACATTTTTTACCCTACGATGGAGACCGAGTTTTTAGCTGTTCTATGTATGTTTTTTTCTGTGAATTAAATCCAACGTGGGGAACACGGGCGATAAAGGCTGAGGAACATGACATCCCCAAGGGCATAAGCCTCATCAGCAACCCCAGCGTTGTCTTCGCTCTGGACGCATCTCAAAATGACAATATAAAGATGAGACAGTATTTATAGCCTTATTTCTCGTATAATAAACATGAGAATGGAGAGATGGATGTGGTATTTCGGCTCCATGCCTTCATCGAAGCGAAATCAGTAGCAAATAATAACCAATTCAAAAACAATTAAGGTTCCACCAAAATTCGTTTCGATAAACGCATGTAGCCGAAAGATCTTGTCTACCCCTCCATCCCCCTGTCTATTCTATGAGGAACAAGGCTGTGACACTGAATCATCTATATGCATGTCACTTACAAATGCACTTACAACTTGTGTAATTTCAAAATCGTGCAACGAAAGGAAGGTCTTCAGCAGCCTGGCATGATTCAAAACCGCATCACATAAGCACCCACATGCAACAGACGAAACAGACGCCAGGGGCGGATCTAGCCTGGAGTTATTGTTTTTTTTGGGGGGGGGGACAACTCTTCGTCGCCAGCTGGCTGGTGTGGGATCGGAGGTCCTGTGCATGGTCCCTCTCGCGAGTACCTAGTAGGCACCATTCAAGCACCGAAATGCTTTTGAATCTCAAACAGAAGTTAAAACAAAACAGTTAAAACAGACGGTAAGTAGACGAAACTTTTATTAAGTTCTGGGAACGTTTTCGGGGGGCCAAAACATACTCTCAGAGTTTTTTTGGGGGGAAGGGCCATGGCCCGTGCCCCCCCCCCCCCCAGGATCCGCCTATGACGGGCGCTCAGTTGAGATTGCTTGAGTTCTGACACCGAGGACCTGGCTTCTATCCCGGTCGAACCCATGACCTCTATCGGTCGACATTCCCACTGCAGCTACGGACGCTCCATGAAAGCTCGCACGGCCTAGTCCACGCAGCCTTAAAAAACGGACAGAAACGAAATAAACAGAACTTACTCGGTACTGCACACTGGCTTTGTTTACGGCGCTGGTGTTTTCCCCGTCGGACCTTCTTACGTTGAAGACCCGCCCGCCTGGTAGTGGATAGACTACACGTGCGTCTCCTCGCAATGGACCGCGGTCAACCAGACGCCGCTGAGCCAGACGGCGCCTATCGCACACAGCACCGGGCCAAACTGCGCCGCAGCCGACGCGACACCCTCATGAAGTCGCTGGCGCCAGCTGACAGGCGCGATCAACATTGTGGAGGCGCGTGTTGCACGGCGCATGCGCGCAACAACCAATGGGGCTGTTCACGGCGGGAACCCGAGTGGGGATGAAGTTATCTTTGTGTTTTGCCAAAAGCAAATTACACCGAAGCACTTGGCACTTGAAACTTTCGAAAGCTGGCGTCCTATTCGGACCATCTCTCACAAAAGCCCACGCCCATGCTGGGGTAACTACGCCCCTGCCCGGCGGCGGCCGTGAGCGTCATGGGGAATTCCTCCCGTCCGCGTATTTATTCCGGTAGATACGAAAATACCACTTCCGACAAATACACGCTGCGGAGCAAGCCGTTGTCATCCCAATGCCTCTATATGTGTTTGCACGATTCAGCCGGGTGACGTCGCCGGGGGTGCACTTTCACGGTCTTTTAAAACTTCCCTCTCAATGAAAGTGAATCTTTTCGTGGTTTTATGAGCATATTCAGTCTCTTCTTATCAACTTCAGTGTTTTTTTTAGTATTGTAGGACTAGTGCTTTTCCATTGAGATTTTGCAGTGAATTATTGGACGTTGCTGTGGGAACCTTCCTGCCACCGTGCTGGGGCGCGCTTGTCGATCAGGAGCCTTGCGCAGATTTTTTCATTCGCCCGAAAGGTTGTGAGCTATAACTGGGTATGTTAACATGTTAACCTGCCGGGATATTCTGGGCTGTTCAGGTGCCCCCCGCGTTAGTCTCGACTGGACCTGCCAACACATTCGTGATATGCTCATGGGCCCTCTACATTGGTCTAGGGCCCTTCCAATTATCTGTCACTTGTTGAGAGGCCCGTACGCTATTGTCGGGCGCCCAGCTATTAGCCTGCTTGGGCACACCCGGTCAGTCCGGGACCCTCCAAATTGGATCTGGAGTACTTTCAATTTTGATGGAGGGTCCTACGCACTTCTCGGAACCCCATGTGTTAACCCGCTCGAGCACACTGAAGTCTGGGGGCCCTGCGCTTTGGGTATTTGAAGGCCGGTTCCTACGCTCCTGTTGGGGGCCATCTGATGACCTGCTCGGGTACACTCGACTTTTCGGGGTCCCTCCACGCTGGATCTTGGGTATCTCTTATTCGAATGGGAGGCCCTCCGCTCTTTTCGGGAGCCCATCTGAAAGCTTGTGTGGGCATATTCAATCGTTTCGAGGCTCGCTATATTGCGTCTTTGGCATTTCCTATTTGAATGGAGATCACCACGCTCTTGTCGGCGGCCCAATCTGTTGGCCTGTTCTGGCGCACTCTACCGCTCAGGGACCTTCTTCATTGCATCGTAAGTATTTCCCATGGGGGTGGAGGGCCCTATGCTTTTGTCGAGGGCACCATCTGTTAACCTTCTCGGGCACACTCGATCGTTCGAGGGCCCTCCATGTTGTGTCATGGGTACTGCTTGTTTAAATGGATGCCCCTATGTTCTTGGTAGGGGTCCCATCTATTAAGCTGCTCAGGCCGGTGGCGAATACAGAGGGGGGATAAGACATGAGGCAATGCTCCCCTTGTGCGCCGTGGGGACCCATATGCTGTGAAGGGGCCCATAATCGGCCGAACAGATGCAGTTTCCTAACACAAAACGGAACAAAATTGGACGTCTTTGGGTTACAGATAACCAAGAGCAGCTGTGAGCGAATTTAAAGAGCCCATGAGCAGACGATGGGCTCTTTGAATCACATCCCTTTCAATCACTGATTGAAAGGGATGTGATTAGGGGATATCTTGAAGCTCAGTACGCTGCCCAGAGACACCTGCTCTATTGCCGAGAGTTCTATATGTCTATTTGCCGGGTCAGTTCGATCGCCAAGGAGCCTTCCATGCTGTCCTTGGAGTCTCTTCGCATTTTCTCGAATGGCCCTTCGCTGCTGTTGGGACGCTACCTGCTTAAATGCTTGGGCACTCTTGTTTGATCAGGTTTTCCTCCATGGATTCTTCTCATTCGCCCGAAAGGCTTTACAAGCTTTTTTCCGGGGCCCTATATGCCAAGGTACAGTTAGTTCCCAGGGACCCTTCACATTGGTCCCGGGTTCTCTCCACCTGCTCGGAGGGCTTTGTGTTGTTGCTGGGGCTCATATAAAGTAAGGTACCGGCCACGCGATGCCGAAGGGAAGGCTTTGAACGAAGGCTTTTTCACTTTCCTCCTAATCTCATTTGCGGAGGCCTTCCACTCCTACCGGGGTTCTTTCTTCTAACTTACCCGGGCACTCTTGGTCGCACAAGGGTATTAATTCATAACATTGGTATTCAGCGATTTCCCTTTGCTGGGAGGGCCCTATGCTCAGGCCGGGGTCCCATATGTCAGCATGTCGGGGCACTACCGATTGCTCAGGGGCCCACCACGTAGTGCAATTAAGTCCTTTAGAGCATTCTTTTACACTTTAAAGGAAACCAAGAGTGAGCATGCATGCAAGTGAGCATGCATCACGCTTACCTTAATTTCTTAAAATGCAGAATGTTCTCTTTAAGACGGCAGGCTTCACATTTAAAGATAGTGATGCAAGCACCATATGTTATGAAATAAGCTGACTTATAACTATTGGTTTACGTTTAAGAGGAAAAGACCGCTCAAGACATGACAATTTCTCTGTGTAGCAGATATGCCACTCAAATATGCGTATATATATACACACACACATTATATATATATATATATATATATATATATATATGCGTATATACATATATGCGTATAATATACAAATATGCGTCATTGTTTTAATATGTCATCGTACCTTGCACAACATCGATTGAGAACCAACTGACGGCCATCATATCTGAAAATGGTGCTCACGGACGCTAGATATGAACGAATCGACAGTGATATTTGTCTTCGCCATGACCGCCGCATGGTAAATGAAATGGCTGGATTTGAATGGCTTATGATAGCGTCAAAGATGCCTGGGTGACCTTGAAATAGTCTCCCCGAGATGGTCTGCGTAACGTCACGGGCGTTCAGCTCAGAAAGTAGAGTAGTTTGGGGCTTAAGAAAGGCAGCGCTGTGAACTGGACCGAATGCTGTTCAAGATGGTTAATTCAGTTCATGCCCTATAAAACACTTCTTTTAACACCAGAAAACTCAAGTGTGGAAATGGTGGTACTCCCTGCTTATACGTGGAGACTGACACAAATGGAGAAGGAAGCAGATCAAGGTCAGTGTTTGTCATGGTGTTTGATGGGGCGATTCCCTCTGACATACTCCAAACACGAGTAAGTCAATGTTATATTTGTCCAACCCTGAACACAGTATGGCCATTGAGGAGGCGGAAGTTGCCCGGCGCATTTATGACGTCCCAACTCTCTGGGTGTCTTCAAAATAGACGGCACAAAATAGCCTGCACAAATTTGTGTGGGCCTAGGCTAGAAGCGAGTGGATTTCAAGTTGGCAAAACTATCAACAGGAGAAATTACTTTGAAAACGGCTATCACATTTAAAAACCTCCAACTAACTTTAAACAGTTCTTTTAAGAAGTTGAGGTGGACGATGAAAACCCCAATCACTCGCCATCGTGACAATACCCAACAATTTTCAACCTAGCCTCCCCTCTTTAGTCGTCCCAGCAGTCTGCCCTCTCCCACCAATGTAGAATGCTGGTGAAGCAGTGCCTTCAGGTGGCTCCGAAAAGCAACCAGGCTTTCCAGGACTTTGGTTCGGCCAGGTGTTCGTGCTAGTCCTTTTTCCTGGACCAAAATCTGCATGGACCTGCGGGCTTAATACGGTTTCTAAAAAGCGGAATACTTTTGAAATATCCCTTCTTACAAGGATCAATTGATATCAAAGGTTGAAACTGTGTTTGCTGAAATATTATGCCGATAAGGAGCTAATAAGATTGATAGGTTGATATGGGCTTATAAATGCTTAGGTTAGTATTCGACGTAACTGATAGGTCATCATTAGGCTGTACCGAGGAAGAGGCTTCCTGCTCTAACAAGGTGCATCCAATTTAGGAAAGTGACCTCCTGATCCAGAAATGGCTTCCGGAACCGAACCTCTGGACCTGCGGAAGATCAATTGAGTCATACAAACTAGCCGCCCTTATTCAGGAAAGTACTCCTAACCCAGAACAGGACGTCCCCACAGATGAGGGAGTCTCCAGATCGAGGAAATTGGCTGCGTTATCCTGAGTCAGGCCTTCAGCATAAACATCTGGCTCCATGGTCAACCAACATATCACTGTCACGTCCGGTACGGGCAGGCCGGTGGGACGACGCTGTACCGGCGGCAGCAGCGTCAATGCGATCACATAGCTATGGCGTGATGCACAGAATGCGGTATCCACGGTAGAGCCTATAGGACAGAGGTGTGCATTGTAATTCTCGGACGTTCAGTGACCTCGCAGACCTCACTGGGGAGTCGAATGGTTTCGGGGGTGTGTTCAGCCGCAATAAAGCGGAGGCAGGAAAACAGACCGTTGTGAACTGTTCTGCGAGCACCAGCCGGCCACATCAAATATTGCCGATGTCGATCCTCTCACGCTCCTAAGACAGACAGGAAGTGGGCAGACCGTCACAGAACGGAGAACACCTCAACAAAGCGCCAACGCCGCTCCTCAGCCGCGCCACGTCACGGCCGTGGAGAGGTCAGTGAAGTGAAAGCGAGCCTACACACTTCTCCGATAAGGCTCTTACTTTTTACTACTGTGGCGACAACTACCAGATGTTTAGACGCGAAAGCAAAAAAAAGTGCGTTAAAAAACCCCACGAATGTTGTGCGAGGAGCAGTGAACGCCTTTATGGCTTCAGTGTGGCTCTACCGCAGCTGATCTGATCGATCCCAACGGGAACTATCATATGCGGGTTATCCGGACAAAGGAAGCTTTATATCACTCATGTCTTAGGGTGTTGCGGGAGACATAAAGCTTTCTGAATTGCTATGTTAGATCAGATTGAAAATTATGTTGAGATGTTGAAACATACCTATCGCACGCGCTCTGCAGA